AACTTCTGGTAGACAATGCTATCGATACATTACACCTGTAAATGGCTGTAAAGTTCACTGTATCCAGGCAAAAACGTCGCGATCGACGACTAGACAACACTATCACAAGATTCGATACCGGGTCTGGAGTAATGTATTAAAGCGGCAGTGATCTGAAATTCGATACGGAATATAACAATTCCTGATTTCAAAATGTTATTGCCGGCAGCCCAAAGTCCAATTTTTTTCACCTTTTGTTTTCTAACCAGAGAACTTTTGTTTTAACATTTTTTTTTAACCTGGTCCTCCGCTTCGAATTTTACTCTAGCCGTTTTGTTTCTAAAAATAACTTATTTAGAGAGCTCGGAATGGGGCTTATACAGGCCTTGACTTTTCCTACCTTTATCTTCTTTTGGTCCGTTACATTTCAGTCTATTTTTCAAATCCAAGATGAAAGAGATTACTGGCCAGTCAAAGGTCTGTTCGATTTCTCTCCTCAAAGCCAAAACCATGAAAAAACAAAAGCAACAACAAAAAGAAACGTACGTAAGAATTAACTTTAGCTGGTATGCTTTTCTATATAAACTGTTCATCGCCAGAAAATCATCTGAGGCCCTTGTTCTTCGACAGGTCTCTCTTGGGCTTACCTTATGATATAGGATCGACACGGACTAATCATAAATTTCGATGCTTCGGCGAGGTTCGCCAGTCGAATATTCTTATTCCATCAAAGATTCCTTTTATTTGGAAATGTTATTTTAATTACTATTTTTTCCAAAAAGTAAGGGGGGGGGTGGGGGCATACCCTCCTCCCAGCCCTTCCCCCTGCGCGGACCCTGTGATAAAGAAGCGGCTGAAGTCGGCAATTAAATTTGAATACATATCGTGTATGGATGCTGGCACGTCCTCGTATGTATGTTTTCTTTCCAATAGGATGTAATTGTCTTTGACGGCTGTTTTAAGCCTACGCTTTCGCTGTTGAACTGGCACTGAGATAAATAATTCAGAGCAGCAGGTGAAACTACTTTTATGGTCAGTTGCCTTAGAGACCGGCATCACCCTATCACCATCATCAGGCGGTCAAACGAGCAAAATATATAATAGCAAAAACGAAGTGCCTCAGTGCTTTAGAGTCCTCATTTTCACTGTTCAAAGTTTAATAATTTACCAAATATGGTGCCAAACAACTATAAACTGTTGGAAATTTACCCCCGAAAGCTATGTATTTGAAACTCATTGCCAAATTGCCGGCGACATTCTACAAAATGAACAGAAACCCGTTATTTAGGAAAAATTGAAACCGGTTTCATCTTAGCAACTAAACAGAAACAAAATAAATAAATACATATTAATAAAGTGAATAATTGAAAAGAAGCCTGACGAGCAGTTTGACTGGTGGACTGATGAACATCAAAAGTAACTATCGTAAGATATTTCTTATTTTGCGGGGCGATGAAATCTTACTCTTTTATTTTAAAAGCCACTGGGGAACTTAAGGCCTTCTTTTTTAAAACAAATCTATGAAATAAAATTCTAGAGATATGAATTAGGATAGTTGAAAAATAATGTCTACGTGTTCTGTGAATATTAATCATTTCATTAATCAGTTTAATGATCATATCTGTTGTTCCTTGTGGGTTTTGTTTATAGTCTATTATTTAAAAGATTTCCGTTGTCACTATTCAGAGAAGACAACTAAAATTTCCTGATTATATACACAAGATTGAAAAAAATATTCACACGTATGTAGGGAATGTGAATTGTATGGGATAAATCGTTATATTATGTTTACGGTAAGAGCTCGTCAGAGTCAAATGTTTTCTTTTTACTTCCTTTTTTCGTACATAAATATTTTTGTTATAAGCAATTATGGCAATACGAAATTAATATCAGCAGGCCACTCTGTCACATTACACGTTTCTTTGCACTGAATTAGAATCGCGGAATTAAACTTCACTGAGTGAACGACAATATTTTTGGTGGTCAGTACGTTGAGGATGGCTGCAAAAATAGAAACAGGTGTTTTTCTTCATCAATTAAATCCACAAAGTTACTTAGATATTCGTAGCTGAAGCTGAACTTAAAATTTGGCGAGTGTCATTCTAGAAAAACATTCACTTTATAAATATTATGTTTAGATTCAGCTTAACAACTGGTTGCGAAGATTTTTCAGCCTTCAAACATGGCGTATAGCTTGATTAACATCTAAATTAATTCTTACATATTTTGCTTTAATTTTCTGCTTGTTAGCCGAAGGATTTTAAAATCCCAGCCCACAATGGAACGCATATGTGACTCACAAAAGAGCGGATATCTTCACAAGTCACGTTTTTGCTTATACAAACATTGCGGAAATAGAGCTTTTTGCTAGACCGTACGCAGAAACATGAGCGCTATTTATGAAGAGGACCTCTCGCTAAAGAAGTAAACGAAACTGACACAAAGAATGAAGGAAGCCCACTCAACCAGTCAAGTGAAAATTCATGGTGAAGAAAAAGTGGACGATGGCTTTGAATTTGAATCAATCTCTTGTCTTTTAATCGCCAAAGATAGTAAGCCAAGGCAATGGACAATTCAGCTCATAAAATGGCCATATCCTTTTGGAATCAGTGTAAACTGTACAAGTAGGTTTGCTAAATATCAACTTGATTACGGTAAGCATTCGTATTAATTTGTCTCTAGGTAAGCGTTTGACCGAAAGTGAAATTTCTGATGGGAAATTCTGAGGCATACATGAAGTTCATAATATAATCGACTATCATTTAACAAACAAATAATTTAATTTTAAACGCGAGAAATATATAACAAACCAGCAAACCTATTATGGTTTGTGAGGAAAGCAAGAGGATAAAAACTTTTGATCTTTAGTTATGGAGTAGTGATTAAGGGCGATAACATGAAATCATTTTGGAAATAAGTTCTATACAGTTAAAAAATTTCACCATGAATAGATTATTCAACCAAACTAACGCTTGCATGTCAAACTGTGCTGGGTGTTGCTTAGTTACACATGCCAGTTGAATGACGAATTCTAGCGAATACACGTTTGAAATGAGATAACTATCGAAAAATCAACCACCCCAAAAAGATATCTTGCTATCGTGAAGATGCACGACTTAATTCACTCTATATACAATTATAATATATAGAGTGAATTTGAACAAATTATCAGGAAACTTTGTTGGAGCAGTAAGGACAACAACAACTAACTGCAGGGTAAGTTTCACTGACTTATATTTAGTATTTCCTACAAATTTTAGGATCGTATTTTAACCCCATAAAAACACTGCTATTTTACTAGAACCGTACTGTGGTACTATCACGGAGCCTGGGTTACCTGTGGGGAAACGCGTGAGAAATTACAGTGTTTGTATGAGAATCTAATGTCGAATAATTTCCGTAAAACGGCTGTTTTGAAAAAAATATGAATTGTAAACTAAAGCTTCACTCTTAAGGATTCTACTGAAAAGAATTGGGGGCGTTACATGCGCTAGAAGACCTAGAACCTTTTTTAAAATTTTCTATACATTTGTCTGTAAAATATATGGAAAATCTAAAGCAAGCTTCTGGAGAAATTTAAGCACAGTAACGGCCCTAAAAATTTGTCAGTAAAATCCTTTGCTGTGAAGCTTTAGTTTACAATCCATATTTTTTCCAGAACAGCCGTTTTACGGAAATTATTCGACATTGGATTCTCATTCAAACACTGTAATTTCTCACGCATTTGCCTAGCTACTCGTCAAGATGGCGTCGAAAACCGTGACAAGGTCTGGTGATTGAAATTAGCATAATTACACCTTGCAAGAGCTGCACGCATCGCATCTATAAAATACACGTCATCTAGTTATGTAACTGATGCACACCATCTGCAGTCTTTTAGTTTTGTTATGGATGACATGAATTGGTATTTTGTTGTTTTTGTTTCGGAATAACATCGACATTGGCAAGTAATAGNGTACTGTGGTACTATCACGGAGCCTGGGTTACCTGTGGGGAAACGCGTGAGAAATTACAGTGTTTGTATGAGAATCTAATGTCGAATAATTTCCGTAAAACGGCTGTTTTGAAAAAAATATGAATTGTAAACTAAAGCTTCACTCTTAAGGATTCTACTGAAAAGAATTGGGGGCGTTACATGCGCTAGAAGACCTAGAACCTTTTTTAAAATTTTCTATACATTTGTCTGTAAAATATATGGAAAATCTAAAGCAAGCTTCTGGAGAAATTTAAGCACAGTAACGGCCCTAAAAATTTGTCAGTAAAATCCTTTGCTGTGAAGCTTTAGTTTACAATCCATATTTTTTCCAGAACAGCCGTTTTACGGAAATTATTCGACATTGGATTCTCATTCAAACACTGTAATTTCTCACGCATTTGCCTAGCTACTCGTCAAGATGGCGTCGAAAACCGTGACAAGGTCTGGTGATTGAAATTAGCATAATTACACCTTGCAAGAGCTGCACGCATCGCATCTATAAAATACACGTCATCTAGTTATGTAACTGATGCACACCATCTGCAGTCTTTTAGTTTTGTTATGGATGACATGAATTGGTATTTTGTTGTTTTTGTTTCGGAATAACATCGACATTGGCAAGTAATAGAACAAAAAATTTGATTCAATGGTAGAGTCATGGAAGTAACCAGAGAAACCATTGAAAGAGATGTTTGTCTACGCCAACTAAACCTCTCGCAAAAAATTAGCAACATTGATAATAGACCACTAGTTGGATTTTACCAATCACAAATTAGTCATAAAAACCTTATAGGCCATTTTGAGTTGATAAAGTTGTTTGCCCTCGTTTGTAGACAGAATAAGTAAAAAGTTTTGTGCGTTTTAGAATTCTTAACATTGTTGAACATGGTTTGAACGAATCAGCATGTTTGTTATCTTCATAAATTGCGTCACATTAGCCATGTACAATCCACTGGACAAACAGTGTGTCACAACCAGGTGTCAAGTGCTTGAAAACATCGAACATTTTGTCTTCGCTTTTTTTGTTGCTGAAATGGTGATTAAGATGGTGGCAATGGGAGTTATCGGCAAAAAAGGCTACCTACAAGATAAATGGAACAGACTCGATTGCTTTATTGTCGTCATTGGGTAAGAGCTAATCAACTTTATCATAAACATAATTTTCCACACGTTTTGATTGGTCTAGAGATCATTACGTTACCAGCAGACAATAACAATAGGAAAAAAGGCTGCGTATACGCAGCCGCATCAAGAAAAAATTGTTTGTCAGGTTTAGACAAAGTTGTGCTAATGCTCACTTTGGTCCATGCCTTTGGAGGAAAATGTTACTTTCGTCTTTTTGCTTACTTGGATTATAAGGCAAACAAGTATACTGGTTAAATGATCAATCAATTATCGTATCGCAAAATATTATGAGTTTCAATTCCCCCGGTAGATTATTTGAAGATGCCGAAGACAGACTAGAGGCAGATATTTGAGCTACTCACTACCACTGCCATATCGTGATATTTTGTTCAATGTCATCCATTAATTTTTTCGACTTCGCCAAGAGAACACATTGATAAGCAACGGGGCTTTTGCTGACATGCCTAACTTTGGAAATTGGTATAAGGTAGTTAATTGATTAATGTGATAAATCATGGATTTTCTCTCAAAGGAAAATACATTTTTCTACTAAAAAATTTCCCGCTACGCTAAAAAACCAGCACTTCTTACGATTAACTTAACTCGCGGCACAAACAATTGAGCACAAAACCCTCTCTTTCTCTCTTAAATCAGTCTTTCTTGGTTTGTAACTGCTGAAGTTTCACCTCTTCATAGTACGTTTTTCATGGGAAAATAGACTGTTTTAGTGAAGACAATAGGGGACAGGTAAGGGGGGAAATTGCTTGACCCTAATAGGAGAGGAAAAGGAAGGCCATATTGATAAATGTATGGGATCAAATTGGATTCGTTAATTTATCAATCTCCATAGTGATTAAGAGCACCTATTCACTTATTTTTTTTTTAGCTTTATTGAGAAAGCAGTCCAACGGGGTAACTATCTGACCATTATACGGGCTTTCAGAGTTTTGAGACCGCTTCGCGCAATCAACAAAGTTCCAAGTAAGTATATGCATAAATTCTTAATTGTGGTCGGCTAGTCAACCTCTTCTCAGGGCCTCATAAGGTTTATCTGTTGCTTTGTGAGAACTCTTCTTGAATTTAAATTAAATGGTCAAAGCAGCATAGGTCATGCATGTATAATGGCATCTCGTCTTCAGTACATACCACCCCCTATAATGGCAATTTAAAGGTTTTTTCACGAGACAGGGTCAGACTGGGTGTTCTTTGTTAGCGTTGCGTCGAATACCTTTGTGGATATGGTTTTCCTGACATATTTTGACCCAGCCGCCTTTCCTTTGTAACCTCGTAATCAAGTATTGTAATAGCCATTTTTAACTGATAGAACTGAGTGACAGTGGTGTCCTAAAAACAGTCCCATAGTGCAATGCGACACAATCATGACCTAGCCTCCTCATGCACAATTCGCAAATGGTAGATACGGCGTTACTGATACATTCCACGGGCTCAAGAAAACATTATGAGTGGTCACATGACCGAGGTCTGACAAGTATCTACTGCTTTGTGTTTTAATACTTGTTTACTGATTCCTTTTGTATGTAATTCTGAATTGCAGGCATTCGTATTTTAGTGACGCTACTCTTGGACACACTTCCAATGCTGGGCAATGTACTGATGTTATCTTTTCTGATATTCTTCGTCTTCGGTATCATTGGCGTACAGTTGTGGCAGGGAAAACTGAGAAACCGCTGCTTTACAAACTTGAATGAGAGTTCAATGTTCTTCACCAGGTATTCACACAGTAGCATCATTTCCTGTTCAAAACGAACCAGGGACCCGTTTCTCGAAAGCCCTTATGACTTTCCAGGCCCAAAGTTCAAGTCAAAATGTCAAAAGGTTAAAAGCGCGGGTCCTTTCTAACAAACCAGCCTTGTTTTTTTGTTGTTAACCGGTAGTTCTATCATGTTATCAGGAAAACTATTTGAACTTCACTTTTAATTGTAAACAACAACAGATTTCCGGGCCACGTTAATTAACTATTGTCGGGACTTTCGCCCCAGGCGAGGAACCAAGAAAATTGAAATGACAAAAAAAAAAGGAAAATTGAAATTCAATGGGACTGTTTGTTGATTACTCTAGGGGCGAGGCAGTGTATTTGTGGGGATCGAGTCACGAGCTATCGACCCCCTAAAATTCGTTAACTTGACGTTTGCTAAACTATTTGAGCCACTTTTTAATTCTTACCCTCAACGTACATTTAAACATTAACCGTACCTTTAAAAGACGCTCTCATACTTGACTGATAGCCTATTTACTAACGATACTAAGTGGCTTGTAATTTAGTTATGAGTGACCCCTAAAGTTGCTGTTTTAATTTATGCTTTCAGATATAACCAGTCAAAATATTATAAGCCGTCTTTCACCAGTCCAGATTTCGTNAAAAAAAAAAGGAAAATTGAAATTCAATGGGACTGTTTGTTGATTACTCTAGGGGCGAGGCAGTGTATTTGTGGGGATCGAGTCACGAGCTATCGACCCCCTAAAATTCGTTAACTTGACGTTTGCTAAACTATTTGAGCCACTTTTTAATTCTTACCCTCAACGTACATTTAAACATTAACCGTACCTTTAAAAGACGCTCTCATACTTGACTGATAGCCTATTTACTAACGATACTAAGTGGCTTGTAATTTAGTTATGAGTGACCCCTAAAGTTGCTGTTTTAATTTATGCTTTCAGATATAACCAGTCAAAATATTATAAGCCGTCTTTCACCAGTCCAGATTTCGTCTGCTCTTTACCAGACGACCATGGCACCAGCAAGTGCTCCGATATTGATCCGTATTACCAGAACAATAAGGAATGTAACGCTTCTTTTGATAATAACTATGCTGGAAATAACTCACTGTGCGTGAATTGGAACATGTACTATAGTACCTGCCAACCTGATGGACCTAATCCGTTCTATGACACTACATCGTTTGATAACATTGGTATTGCATGGATTGCCATATTTCAGGTAAATAACGTTCTCTACTATTGCCAATGTTCATTATTTGCACTATCTAGTAAACAATGAGGCGTGATGTGGGATGGTTACAAGTCGTTTGATACACTCGCCGTTTTTGATACAAGTTAATTCGACCAAATTTGTTCTGTTGAGTTGACAATAGCTCCACGTACTTGGCTTAATGAACGAAGAATGGCTCACCCAATCCAAATTTTTTTCTTGAGCATGCGCAAACAATACTTCCAGCGAAATAAATTTTTGTGCAATTTCACCGGTTCGGTTCATATCGAAACGAGTTGTATCGAAAAAGACCTTGTATTGAAACGAACGGTTTCCTGTGGGATAAGATGGAGCCCGTTACTTCAGCTGATCTCAGTCTTGTTTACATGAAACAACTTGAAAAGGATTTTAACCGATCACAGTGTTAAAGCCAGCGGCATCAATGTCACCGGGTACCCACTTATACCCCCTGTTAAAGAGAGTCAAAGGACAGCAAATCTCTAGCTTAGGGAGACAACAAGACTGAAAAGTCAAAGTTTCAGATCGACTCTGGCTTGTTGCAGGCTCCAAGGTAATGAGGAAGGAGAATCAAGAAAAGTTGCGGGAAAACCGCGTGGAGCTGGGGAGAGACAGAGTAGTAGAGCTTATAGCATTGTTTTAAGAACAATGACGCCCGGATGGCCGTGTAATAAACCAGATTTAACTATGAAAGAAACTACACTTTATTCGGCCGCCATGACACCCGGAAAGCATGGCCCACACAAATATCCATGATCCTTTGCACGTTTACAGTAACCGAGAACTTCCGCTAACACAACTTCTGGTAGACAATGCTATCGATACATTACACCTGTAAATGGCTGTAAAGTTCACTGTATCCAGGCAAAAACGTCGCGATCGACGACTAGACAACACTATCACAAGATTCGATACCGGGTCTGGAGTAATGTATTAAAGCGGCAGTGATCTGAAATTCGATACGGAATATAACAATTCCTGATTTCAAAATGTTATTGCCGGCAGCCCAAAGTCCAATTTTTTTCACCTTTTGTTTTCTAACCAGAGAACTTTTGTTTTAAGATTTTTTTTTAACCTGGTCCTCCGCTTCGAATTTTACTCTAGCCGTTTTGTTTCTAAAAATAACTTATTTAGAGAGCTCGGAATGGGGCTTATACAGGCCTTGACTTTTCCTACCTTTATCTTCTTTTGGTCCGTTACATTTCAGTCTATTTTTCAAATCCAAGATGAAAGAGATTACTGGCCAGTCAAAGGTCTGTTCGATTTCTCTCCTCAAAGCCAAAACCATGAAAAAACAAAAGCAACAACAAAAAGAAACGTACGTAAGAATTAACTTTAGCTGGTATGCTTTTCTATATAAACTGTTCATCGCCAGAAAATCATCTGAGGCCCTTGTTCTTCGACAGGTCTCTCTTGGGCTTACCTTATGATATAGGATCGACACGGACTAATCATAAATTTCGATGCTTCGGCGAGGTTCGCCAGTCGAATATTCTTATTCCATCAAAGATTCCTTTTATTTGGAAATGTTATTTTAATTACTATTTTTTCCAAAAAGTAAGGGGGGGGGGTGGGGGCATACCCTCCTCCCAGCCCTTCCCCCTGCGCGGACCCTGTGATAAAGAAGCGGCTGAAGTCGGCAATTAAATTTGAATACATATCGTGTATGGATGCTGGCACGTCCTCGTATGTATGTTTTCTTTCCAATAGGATGTAATTGTCTTTGACGGCTGTTTTAAGCCTACGCTTTCGCTGTTGAACTGGCACTGAGATAAATAATTCAGAGCAGCAGGTGAAACTACTTTTATGGTAAGTTGCCTTAGAGACCGGCATCACCCTATCACCGTCATCGGGCGGTCAAACGAGCAAAATATATAATAGCAAAAACGAAGTGCCTCAGTGCTTTAGAGTCCTCATTTTCACTGTTCAAAGTTTAATAATTTACCAAATATGGTGCCAAACAACTATAAACTGTTGGAAATTTACCCCCGAAAGCTATGTATTTGAAACTCATTGCCAAATTGCCGGCGACATTCTACAAAATGAACAGAAACCCGTTATTTAGGAAAAATTGAAACCGGTTTCATCTTAGCAACTAAACAGAAACAAAATAAATAAATACATATTAATAAAGTGAATAATTGAAAAGAAGCCTGACGAGCAGTTTGACTGGTGGACTGATGAACATCAAAAGTAACTATCGTAAGATATTTCTTATTTTGCGGGGCGATGAAATCTTACTCTTTTATTTTAAAAGCCACTGGGGAACTTAAGGCCTTCTTTTTTAAAACAAATCTATGAAATAAAATTCTAGAGATATGAATTAGGATAGTTGAAAAATAATGTCTACGTGTTCTGTGAATATTAATCATTTCATTAATCAGTTTAATGATCATATCTGTTGTTCCTTGTGGGTTTTGTTTATAGTCTATTATTTAAAAGATTTCCGTTGTCACTATTCAGAGAAGACAACTAAAATTTCCTGATTATATACACAAGATTGAAAAAAATATTCACACGTATGTAGGGAATGTGAATTGTATGGGATAAATCGTTATATTATGTTTACGGTAAGAGCTCGTCAGAGTCAAATGTTTTCTTTTTACTTCCTTTTTTCGTACATAAATATTTTTGTTATAAGCAATTATGGCAATACGAAATTAATATCAGCAGGCCACTCTGTCACATTACACGTTTCTTTGCACTGAATTAGAATCGCGGAATTAAACTTCACTGAGTGAACGACAATATTTTTGGTGGTCAGTACGTTGAGGATGGCTGCAAAAATAGAAACAGGTGTTTTTCTTCATCAATTAAATCCACAAAGTTACTTAGATATTCGTAGCTGAAGCTGAACTTAAAATTTGGCGAGTGTCATTCTAGAAAAACATTCACTTTATAAATATTATGTTTAGATTCAGCTTAACAACTGGTTGCGAAGATTTTTCAGCCTTCAAACATGGCGTATAGCTTGATTAACATCTAAATTAATTCTTACATATTTTGCTTTAATTTTCTGCTTGTTAGCCGAAGGATTTTAAAATCCCAGCCCACAACGGAACGCATATGTGACTCACAAAAGAGCGGATATCTTCACAAGTCACGTTTTTGCTTATACAAACATTGCGGAAATAGAGCTTTTTGCTAGACCGTACGCAGAAACATGACGCGCTATTTATGAAGAGGACCTCTCGCTAAAGAAGTAAACGAAACGGACTCCAAGAATGAAGGAAGCCCACTCAACCTGTCAAGTGAAAATTCATGGTGAAGAAAAAGTGGACGATGGCTTTGAATTTGAATCAATCTCTTGTCTTTTCATCGCCAAAGATAGCAAGCCAAGGCAATGGACAATTCAGCTCATAAAATGGCCATATCCTTTTGGAATCAGTGTAAACTGTACAAGTAGGTTTGCTAAATATCAACTTGATTACGGTAAGCATTCGTTTTAATTTGTCTCTAGGTAAGCGTTTGACCGAAAGTGAAATTTCTGATGGGAAATTCTGAGGCATACATGAAGTTCATGATATAATCGACTATCATTTAACAAACAAATAATTTAATTTTAAACGCGAGAAATATATAACAAACCAGCAAACCTATTATGGTTTGTGAGGAAAGCAAGAGGATAAAAACTTTTGACGTTTAGTTATGGAGTAGTGATTAAGGGCGATAACATGAAATCATTTTGGAAATAAGTTCTATACAGTTGAAAAATTTCACCATGAATAGGTTATTCAACCAAACTAACGCTTGCATGTCAAACTGTGATGGGTGTTGCTTAGTTACACATGCCAGTTGAATGACGAATTCTAGCGAATACACGGTTGAAATGAGATAACTACGGAAAAATCAACCACCCCAAAAAGATATCTTGCTGTCGTGAAGATGCACGACTTAACTTCTTTAACTTAAAACATTTATTGCAAAACATACGCTATCAACAAAAAAAATTTCGGTTAAAGGAAATGGATTTTTCCTCGAATCTCATATTTATTGCCATACGAATCAAATGCGAATGAAATATTTGGTGCAGGGCGGATAAAGGCACAAGTAACCCAGGCTCTGTGATACGGTTCTAGTAAAATTACAGAGTTTGTATGGGGTAAAAATACGATCCTAAAATTTGTAGGAAATTCTAAATATAAGTCAGTGTAACTTACCCTGCAGTCAGTTGTTGTTGTCCTTATTGCTCCAACATAGTTTCCTGATAATTTGTTCAAATTCACTCTATGCAGTCAGTTGTTGTTGTCCTTATTGCTCCAACAAAGTTTCCTGATAATTTGTTCAAATTCACTCTATATACAATTATAATATATAGAGTGAATTTGAACAAATTATCAGGAAACTTTGTTGGAGCAATAAGGACAACAACAACTGACTGCAGGGTAAGTTACACTGACTTATATTTAGAATTTCCTACAAATTTTAGGATCGTATTTTAACCCCATACAAACACTGCTATTTTACTAGAACAGTACTGTGGTACTATCACGGAGCCTGGGTTACCTGTGGGGAAACGCGTGAGAAATTACAGTGTTTGTATGAGAATCTAATGTCGAATAATTTCCGTAAAACGGCTGTTTTGAAAAAAAATATGAATTGTAAACTAAAGCTTCACTCTTAAAGATTCTACTGAAAAAAATTGGGGGCGTTACATGCGCTAGAAGACCTAGAACCTTTTTTTTTAAATTTTCTATACATTTATCTGTAAAATATATGGAAAAGCTAAAGCAAGCTTCTGGAGAAGTTTAAGCACAGTAACGGCCCTAAAAATTTGTCGGTAAAATCCTTTGCTGTGAAGCTTTAATTTACAATCCATATTTTTTTTCAGAACAGCCGTTTTACGGAAATTATTCGACATTGGATTCTCATACAAACACTGTAATTTCTCACGCATTTGCCTGCTCGTCAAGATGGCGTCGAAAACCGTGACAAGGTCTGGTGATTGAAATTAGCATAATTACACCTTGCACGAGCTGCACGCATCGCATCTATAAAATACACGTCATCTA